CAATATTTCGTTCGACGCCATAAAATAGGTGAGTCAGCAAGTTTCGTCCGCTTTCTACACTCGCAAAGCTTCGTTCACGGTGTGTGATTTTTTTTGACAACTCATCAATATTAATTGAGAGACTACCTGCGTTGGAAACCAAAAAATAGACATAGTCTCTAAATTGTTGACGTGGCGCACTAAAGTTAGACTTAACACTACCGCATTGCGGTTGCTCTTATAAGCCAACTTTTTCACCAAACACGTACTTTTAGTTTTACGGGGGCTGAATTGTTTAATAATAAGAAAATGTAAGATTGGAGTTACATTTCTGGCTGTATTGGCTAAAGTTACTGTAAAGGGTCATTTTAGCTATTTTTCATATAATTTTTTCTTTACTTTATTAATAAAATTGATAGAGTATATGGACTCCGACCCCCCGGTATGCCGACTACTGGGCCTGGACAGCGGCCCACACACGTTTAGCGGATTCATATTAGTGGAAATATCCCGTTAGGTCAACTTTTACACTCACGATTTCAATTATGTCCAGCTACATATTCCTTTTCATTTTTAAACTTTCGTATTTTCACTTTTGTTTTTTATACTTTCAAAAGTGTCTAAACTCTTAACCATACCTAATCAAACCCAAAAATCAGAATGCGGCTCTGCGTTCGCGTCCGCCTTCATCTTCATCCATCTCTCCCAAGCTTATCTTCGGTCCATCTTCCATATCCGTCGATGAATTGCCTTCTTCACAGACTCCACTTTAACCGTGCCACCACTGTTCTCTCTGTCCATCTCAGCATGTCCTCTCCAATCCCTAATTCGATTGTGGAATAAGGCCGACTTTGAACGGTTCCCAACATCGATTTCCACTACAATTGTTCAATCATAGCTTCAGATTGGTCGATAATAATGATTCATTGATTTCATAGCCTTGATTGGATCGACGGTTTTGTCTCTGTAATAGAGTCCCGTATGAGAGAATGAACAACAATTATGCTGAAAATTGGTTGGGCTTTTGATGAAAACGGAAGGTACGATTCTCCAACCATCCTGTATTCTCCGCACTCTTAAACCGGTTCTATATCATTGAAGGATAGAGATCGGCAGTCTCGCATCACCTTCCTCATAATTTTGGTTATGATAAAAAAATATTATCCTAATTCCAGATCGACAATTCGGCATATATACTAGAGATTCTGTTTGGTGATGGAAATCATGTCTCCCTTAGCAATTTCTAGGTCTTTTATCTTTCAGAAATGTGGTTGGAGTTGATCGTAGTGTTCTATCATTCTATCCGTTCTTAGGTTTGTTTTTCTTCCTGAGTTGAGCTTATGACTATTATATGATTGCCATTGTGTAGGTATTGTTAGCTGAAGGAACACCTGTGTATTCTTCCGCAGTCTTGTCAAATGCATCCCCTAACATGACTTTTATGGTATAGTTTTTCTAGCTCTGTTAGATTCAAATTTGAGATTCCTGCTAGCAAAGCTTATGACTTCCAATTTAATTGATTGGATTGTGGAAAGTGACAGTTTTTCTTTATTACACAGGATCTTATACCAAAGAATGTGCAAAGCTTATGACTTCCAATTTTTTTTTTTTTTAAGAATGTGCTTCCTAAAGACTCTTCGTGCAATAAAGCTAGTTGTTTTAATATCAGCTTCTTACATTGATTTAATTAATTTCCAGGGTCATGTTTGACTAAAAGTTCAAAACAATATTATTAATTTGTCTTGAAAAGTTGAGATTAGCTCTTTGCTCTGCCATTGCTTCCTATTGCAAGCAGTGTACACTTTTCATACTTAACTAGTATTTGATTTAATTATTCTTTATTAGTATGCATTCTTTTTTTTAAATGCTTAAGTGGAGACTATGAAATGAGATGATCATCTATGGGAAAAGGGTTGAGACTATGGCAGCAAATTAACCATGAATTAAAACACTACATTTGACAGTCAGAATAAAATCAAAAAACAAAAAACGGGAAGGTTAAGGGAAAATACATTTTAAGTGGGAATCTCAAACAAGCGTCATTAGTCCATAAGCTAACTTTACCATCAATCAAAGCCATGTTTTGGTGTGTGGATACATTTTGATGTATGTATAAATTGTATAGGTGGATTGTTTTCTTGTGATACTTGATTTGAGATTTGTGTCTATTGCATTCTCATTGCAGGTGCATTAGCATAATAGAAGTGCATGAAGATACTAAGATGACTAAGAAGATCAACAAGAGTATGAAGAAAAGAGAGACAAATCGATGGATTGTGTGTTTAGATGCACAAGAAGAAAACAAATGTGAAGATGCATAATAGATGAATGTAGCATATTGAAATGATAGAATGAATTATATATTTGTTGTGATACTTTTTTATATATATTATTTTGTTTCTTTTTGTTGTACTATTAGTGCCATATGTGTTGCTTTTTGTTTCATCTTGTTGTTTTTTGTTGTATTGTGTTTCTTGTTGTTGATTCTGATTTTTGTTATTTATTTAAATTTCTATTTATATTTGTTACATCTTTGAAATATAAAATTATGTACGTAGTATATGTGTGTGTCTCACCAACATTGATAAATTGAACTTTTTAAATGTCAACAAATACAAGAAACATAAAGAAACAATAAAAAACAAAAAATTCTCAGTTATCAACAAAATGAAACAATGGGCAACAAAAAATAACAATAAAATTTTAGTAAAAAAAAATAACAATAAACTTCTATAATTATTATTATAATTTATTTGTACAACTTTTTTACTTTGTCTAATTTTTTCCTGAGTATCAATTAAAAATTTTAATTCAATTTACTGTTTTTTTTAATTTAAGATTTTTTTCCAATAATTACATTTTTTATTTTTATATTTTTCTATTTTTCTTTTGATTTTTAATTTTATCTACATTTCGAATTTTAATGATCTTTAATTTTTTTATCCTAGTATAAATTATATTAACTGTTTTTAAAAACTGCAGTTCAGAATCGTACCATGTACAATGTATTTTTCAGAGTTTTTTACATTTCTAACTAATTCAGATATTTACAATTTGCTTTTGAGTTTTGAATTTCTATTTTTTCTGTACATTTTTTTATTTTCAGATTTGTCTTAAAAATGAGTTCTTTTTATTTTATTTTTAAAATATAAGGTACAAGTTTCCAATTTTGTTTTTTATTATTCTTTTTTTTTGAAATAATATTATTTTTGAATTTGAGTTTCTTATCGTTTTAAAATTTACTAAGGAGTATTAATTTTTGAACTTTTCGCTATCATAATTTATAATAACTTTTAACATATTTCTATTTAAAATCAAGTGATGAGTAAGTGCATCCAATTTGTACTACGTACGTATTAGTTTATGAAAGGTGTCACAGTGTCACCGTGTCATGATTGACACCTCACACCTTACGTGTGATGCACTTGTGAAGGCATTTCGGTAGCCCGTCGGTAAAAAAAACTTGTAAGTAGGCTATTTTTGAAAGAAAAACATAAGAGTGACAAAAGTGATATTATTTTCAGTTTTTTGTCTATTTGTGATAAATTCCCTTCATATTATTGTACATTATTATTCAAATGTTCTAGATTAGCTTTTTATACTATCAGTCCATTTATATAACCGGGTCTATCAGGCCCATATTAGAGGCCCAGACCCGGATTTTCCCTATATATACTCCTTATAGGAGGCTTGTAAACTCACAACTCAAGAACTCATAGTCATACACCATACACATTTTCTTCTTCTCCATTACTCCTTTTGATTCTTGTTCAATCTCTCCTGTTTATACAATATGGGTATCAATTATCCAACAAAAATGTATTTTAAATTATTATTTTCACAAATCAGCAGAATCAGCCAATACAACCACATCAGCCAGAACTTCATAAATTTCAGCAGAATCAGTCTTATTACCAAACGGGCTCTTAGATAGATAAAATATCCAATTACAAGTTGCTTTATCTTTGAGGATTTCATTCTTATGCCAAGAAATGTGCATACTACCTCTCAAAAATGATCATTACATAAATTAAAGATATATAGATCCTAAATGAAATGTGCACACTTTAGTGCGAACATAATGTAAACGTAGGGCCGAGTCACGTCACAAACCATCGGTATTTGAAATTATGTCACAAATAAATTTAGTTTGCGTAGCAAGTATTTTCATCGAAACTTTTGTGAATTCTTCCACTTTATGACCAACATTTATTCACGCATTGCATCTAGGCTTGAGCAAAACCTGAACCGACCCGCAAAACCCGAAGTTTTTTCCAGATAATATCCTTACCGAAATGAATTAGGGGTGGACTCGGGCCGGGCGGCCCGGCCCGGTTACTGTTTGGCCCGGCCCGGCCCGGGGCCCGGTGGGTCCACCGGTTCGGTTCGGCCCGGCCCGGCCCGGCTGCTGGGCGGTTCGGGCTCGGGCCCAGTTTTTGGTGAACCGGCCCGGCCGGTTCGGGCCCGGTTCGGGCCGGTTTTTTTTTTTTTTTTTTGTTTGAATTTTTTTAAGTTTTGGGTTGGATTAGGTATTTTGGGCCATTTGAGGTGGTTTGGGGTGGTTTGGGGTTGAGGGGGAGGGGTTGGGGGTTAAATAGAAGAGCCAAAAAAAAAAAAATAGAACCGGTTAGGCCCGGCCTGGCCCGGCCCGGTTTGGCCCGGAACCGCCCACCGGCGGTTCGGGTTCGGGCCCAAATTTCCTGGCCCGAGGCCCGACCGGGCCCAGGCCCGAACCGGCCCGAGTCCACCCCTAAAATGAATATCCGACCCGAAAAAACCCGAAACCGAAAATCCGATTAGTATTGGGCCTAGATCGGGTGAATATCCGAAAATCCGAAATGAATATCCTATTGCCTCAATTGTTGCTAGCACTTATCCGTCATTTCTGGAAAATATGGCTGATCCAACATATTCTCAGCAAAGAGCTATTTTGACATCCACAAATGATGTTGTAGAGCTTATAAATAATTATATGATTTCATTGATGCCTGGAGAAATGAGAACATATCTGAGTTTTGACAGCCCATGCTCGCTTGAGGGCAACATTGGCGCTGAATCTGATGAAGTGCAAACTCAAGAGTTTCTACACACCATCAATGCATCAGGGATACCGAACCATAAATTGGGACTAAAGGTTGGTGTTCCTGTTATGTTAATGAGAAACCTTGATCAGTCCTCTGGCGTATGCAACGGAACTCGCCTGATTATTACTAGGTTAGGTAAATCTGCTTTGGAGGCGAAAGTTATAACCGGAAAAAGTATTGGTCAAAAGGTTTTGATTCCACGACTATCATTGGTCCCGTCGGATAGCAGAATTCCTTTCAAATTTCAGCGTAGGCAATTTCCAATAATCGTTTCATTTGCCATGACGATAAACAAAAGTCAAGGACAATCTCTGGATCAAGTGGGCATATATCTTCCAAAATCTGTCTTTACGCACGGTCAATTGTACGTGGCTATATATGTTAAGGGTTACATCAAGGGGTGGACTGAAGATTCTTATATGTGATGACGTGAGCCGCACTATCAACACCACAAATAATGTGGTATATAAAGAAGTTTTCCGAAATTTGTGAAACTGTTTTTTTCATTGTCAACATATATGACTGTTGCTTATTGATTTGTCAACTTATGTTTATACATTATCATTTATTTTAATTTTCTTTCCATTTTTTCATACGATTTCAATTTTCCTACAACTGCGACTATGTATATACTAAAACTTACAACATAGAAATTCTATTTGTTTTGTCAAAACTTACACATAATGTACCATGGTAAAACATAATTTAAAACAACTTATTATCCAATTCTAGATATACCCTGTGCATCGCACGGGTACTTTATCTAGTAGTAAACCAGTAAAAACAACAGAGTCGGATTTTCATTAAATAACAATAATTAGAGCAATTCTTTGGGAGACTCCAATGGCGGATTTAAACAAATTACAGAGAAAGTTAAAAAAAACTGTAGATGCAATACTGTGTCTATATTGAGATGGTAGGTGTATCAGTGTATGAGAGAAAAATAAAAAAATCACAGTACGGCTTCAATTTTTTGGACTGCAGAGCTCCGTTCTTTCAGTCATACTCTTCGCATACATGAGGGAGTAAGCATGCAGAAGGGTAGAGTAGGAAACAAATTACTTTTTGGCTCTTTCCTAATTTGTGTGCCATCCGGCTATGTTGCATCTAATTTGGAATGGAGGATAGTATATGTTACCGATTAACCATGAACATAAAAATATAATATCAAGATAGGAAGTATTTAACCATTAACGACAGTATGCAATTATGCATCCATACAAACATATATTCTTATTTGTTTGTTTATTTATTCATCCATTTTAAAAGTAAGATGGTAGGTGTTAGACCCCTAAAATGGTGGGTCTATCTTGATTCTTGAGACATGGCAAAGGCTTGAGAGGATGGCTTTTAGGGCAATGTGGCAGACTGGCAGCCAAAGTCATCAGGCGATGCTACATCAAGACAAAGGCATGATGATGGCATGACCTTGTTGGGAACGAGCAAGGTGGAAGTTTTGTTAAGGCATGATACTTGGTCAAGATAAGACAAGCTAGATCAAGTATTAGGGCAGGACGATTGGGATTGCGAGAAACCATGGGCAGTGTCATGGAGAGGGCATGCATGGTCAAGGTTGGCCATGGGTGTGTTGGCTCGATAGGCATGGACTGGGCCCGACCAAAATTCTTTTATAAAAAAGACCCAACCCGGCCTAGTGCTGGACTCGGGCCGGTTCGGGCCCGGTTCGGGCCTGGGCCCGGCCGGGCCTCGGGCCAGGAAAGGGAGGCCCGAGCCCGAACCGCCAGTGGCCGGTTCCGGTCCCGGTTCCGGGCCAAACCGGGCCGGGCCGGGCCGAACCGGCCCTATTAATTTTTTTTTTTTTGTTCTCCTATTTAATCCCCTACCCCTCCCCCTCAACCCCAAACCATCCCAAATCACCTCAAATGGCCCAAAATACCTAATCCAACCTAAAACTTAAAAAAATTTAAAAAAAAAAAAAAATTAAAATCCGGCCCGGACTGGCCCGAACCGGCCGGGCCGGTTCACCAAAACCTGGGCCCGGGCCCGAACCGCCCAGCAGCCGGGCCGGGCCGAACCGAACCGGTGGACCCACCGGGCCCCGGGCCGGGCCGGGCCAAACAGTAACCGGGCCGGGCCGCCCGGCCCGAGTCCAGCACTAACCCGGCCTGGTCTGGGTCCCGAAACCAACCCGGCCCGGTACCGGGCCTTCATTTCCCAAACTCAATCCTGCCCAAATCCTTGCCCGAACCGGGCGCGGTCCATCCCTATGGCTCGTTATGTGGTCCAAATGTTGGGAAAGATCGGTGGTAAGTGTGGCTTGGCTTACAAGACACGAAACAACAAGTTTGGTGTACGAAAAATCAACCGGCTCAAGGGTTACACAGGCCCTCAGGGTTGATGTCCGGTGCGTGGCCAGGCTCGAGCCCGTGGCATGGCTGTCATTGGGCTATGTCCAATAAGTCAACCCAGAAGGTGTCTCCAGGCATGTGACGATTGAATCATAGTTGTTACGGCGGGATTTTGCGGCGTGGCGCCTTTGGACTGCCATACCGCCATGGCGATATGGCGCCCGTCGTGGCGGAGTCGCGGCGATAAGTCGACATATAGACTAATAAATTCATAATAAGTTTTACATACTAAAAAGCCTACATGTAACACTTATAGCCAACACTACTAATGAACTAAATCAAGTAATAAAATATTAAAATAATTTAACTGAAATGTCACTAACTATTAAAAAAACATTAAATGTAAGACAACACAATCACACAATATGAATTTCAGCATAAATTCAAGACACCAAAAACATCATGAAATATAAAATAAAAAGAGAACTGAGTTTTTTTTTAAAATTTTGAATCAAACTGTACAAAGTAAATACAACAAAAAAGCTAAACACTAAACGGAGTTCAACACAACAACTGTACACAACCAAACAATTAATATTGGAGTAAAGGGGTGGAAATTATAAAAACAAAACTAAACACTAAACAGTAACCGACTCAAAAAATACAACAAATACGTGAACAAAACAACATAAAAAAGGGGCTAAAGTAGTGGAACGTGCAGACGACTGCAGACATGAGTGAGTGACGACAGATTAGAACTATAGAGAGCGACGGAAATTTCTGATTAGAACTAGTGGAGTGTGCGGACGACTGCATACGACGGACTGAAGAATGAAGCGTGCGTATGTCGTCGATGCAGATAGGTTTGTTTGTTAATTTTATTTTGGGCCCCTTTGAAATTCAGTTGGGTTTGGGCCTGTTCCAAATGAAATAATTTTACGCCTTGGGTCGTCGATTAGGCGTTTTTGGCGTCTGCCGACGACACAGCGACGAATCTTGGACGCCAAAGGTTTTATGGCGAGTCGAGCTCCCATGGCGATCTTCACTTCGCGCCACGACGATATGTCGACGATGTGGCGACGAAATATCGACGCCATAACAACTATGGATTGAATAGTCACGACTTTTAAAATAGATGGCTATGGTGGGTTGGCATGTAACCAGCAAACTTTACCAAACCATTTAAAGGGCAGATTGGCAAGATTTTGGAGGGTGTGTAAAAGAGTGAACTCCCTCCGTTCTCTATTAGATGTCCCTATACAGTTTGGGACAAGTTTTAAGAGGAAAATAATAGGAGTAGTGTAAAATGTGTAGTGGGTTGTGTTTAAATGAAAAAGTAGGAAAGAGAATGAGGGTATATAGGTATATTTATTGATAAAACTTTCTAAGAATGGAAAGGGAGAAAACTATTATAGAACATCCCAAAATGGAAAGGGGGACAAGTATTTGTAGGTGTTGTATTAGTCCTAGTGTATTGTATTAGTCATAGTGCATTAGACTATTAGTCCTATGTGAAAGAGTGTGTGGAAGAGTGTGTTGTATTAGTCCTAGTGTATTAATTTGTAAAATTAATAGAAGGTTGGTCGTTGACAGTAAATTCATATACCTATACTATATTCCAAGTCTTTGATAAAGTTGCTTTTGTAGTCCCATTCAAGTGTTCAAGTGTGATAATTGAAGGGCTAACTGTTTTAAAGGATTAAAGTATGAAGTCAAGAAATTTAACATGTAAGAGTACTAGGGTCTTACACTCTTACATCATATTTATTATAGCCCTGGTCCCAGACTGGACCGAATCAGTTGGACTACAATCAAAATCACCTAAATCACCAAATTAATAGAATCAAAGACTATGATCAGAATCAATGCTGCTAAATGGATGGATCTTATGAACTACCATGAATTAGAATCCTATATTGATCAGGAACATAGGCTGGACAGACCAGACCAGACTGTAATCAAAATCCATAAAAAATTTGAACAGAAAACTGATCTGGGATGTAACCAGCACAGCACCGGCCTAGCCTAGACTGATCTACACCTATCGGTCTGATTCAGTTCGAGTTACCGATCTGGACCGAGTATGCTAAAACCCTTATCTTAAAAATCGCAATATAAATGGTTATTTCTTAATCTAGGGAGTAAGGAACTAGATCATCACAACAAAGACTAACGCAGAGAATCAGTAGTAAGCAGTATGTCTCAAGTTCATGAATCACGATGACTATTATTCAAAAACAAGAGCTTCCGGACAACAGACACTAACACAAGACTTGATTAGCGAAATTCTAGCAGCAATAATATATACGGAGTACCAAAAAGAGTAAATCACACAGATTGAAGCTTTTAATTTCAATAATCGAACCAGATCACTTCTTAAGACTGCCGCGGACGCCGGGTTTAGGCTTGCTGGATGCTTCGGCGGCTAAAACGGCATGGAGGTCAACGATCTTTGATTCATCGTACTCAATCTTAGGGTGCCTGGATTCGTGGTGGGTCTTCATGTTTGCGAGGCTCGGGGCGGTGATCCGGCAGAGCGGGCACTCAAACTTCGCGTGCCCACCCTTGGTCTTACCCGTCCGGTCTGCCAGCCCAGCCAATCCACCGCCGCGATTGGTCAGAGCCGCGTCCGCCTTCGCTGCTATCTCCTTCGCCGTGTGCTTCTTCGGCTTCGCCTTTCCTGTCATGATTCCCGCCCGCTCTCTGCTCTGCTCCTCTGTGATACCCGCAGCCAAAACTCACGTCTATTTTAGGGTTTGATGATAACAATTTTGGGGATCACATATACGCTTCCAGGTCGGTCATCACAAAATCGGACCCCGCTTTTTTAAAGGAATCGGACCCGTTTTGTTTTTGAAAGGAAGGAATCAGACCCGTTAGTAATAGTCTAATAGAGACTTTGCCAAATAAGGATGTTTTCTTTTGGACTGTTTTTAGTTCCAAACCAGACCAGACCAGACTTAAACAGACCAGACCAGATCAGACTTAAACAGACCAGACCAGACCGGACTTGGATAGTTATAAAATACACAGAGACAAGACGTTTACCAGACCAGACCATTTCAGACCAGACCAGACCAGACTTAAACAGACCATACCAGACGAAATCAGACCAGACCAGACCAAACCAGCAAATTTCAGTCCAAAAGAAAACATCCTAATACCGAGTGCTAACTAAAATGGCAAGGAGACAAATAGGATCATATGTATAGCCCATTTGGTAGCACGAAAATCAGTCCCTATACCGTGCAACCGGTGCATGGTGAGCATCATGCTCTCATGGCTATATGAAATGTGACTCGTGTGAATCCACATGTAACTTCAAGTTAATCTAAATGTAAATTACATTCATTCATATGTAACTCATTGAAATGTAAACTGTTTTAATTGAAATGTAACTTCGAAACAAATTAGATGTACCTTGGGATATGTAACTTTAGACTATTGAAATGTAAAACACTTTTGCAGAGATGTAAAAGCATGTGTTTTCAAATGTAATTTGAGCCAAATCAAAATATAAATTGTCTCATCATTTATGTAAGGTAAATAAAAGCAAAGATCACTTCTGCCAGTAAAGAAGAGAAGCTAGCCATCAGTGGAGAATTAAAGATAATCATGAGCACCAGCTAGTTAACGATCTACCTCCTTCTCTCGTTCAACAACAAGGAGCACCGTTGCTATCTCGTTTGATGAATTAATGGAATAATAGTTGCATCCTTTTGCCGGCTTGTCATGCTTCTTGCGTTGCTGCGTAATAACAAAGTCGGCGGCGCCGGTGAACTATACGGAACAAGCACTCCCCCTTTTAATTAATAAAACAATGACGTATTATGATCGGGCATACCATGCGCATGGTATGCCGGTCATACAGTGTAATTTGCAACGAAATTAGGGCAGAGATCAAGAGAGAGAGAGAGAGAGGCAATCTAGGCCAGTTCGTATACCGTGGTATCACCCCACGGTGAGCACAGTGCTCCCAATCTCAAAACGACGTAGTTTTGCACAATTTTAAAAAAAATCGCGTGAACAGTAACGCGTGAACAGTACACGCGTGTGCAGTAACTATTTTTTTGTCCCAGTAGTATGAATGATGTAACTCGCGTGTAAAGATATGTAACTCACGTTATTGATCAATGTAACTCAAGTCCATTCGAAATGTAACTTATCAAATACATACTATAAGAAATAAAACATTGATTTCAATGCAAACAATGAAAAAAAGAGTCTAACTACACAAGTACTTTACGTAAATCTTGAATATGTTTTGTTTTTAATATCATGACCATCACTAGGATTTTAAAAAATTCATTTTTTTTTGTTTCAATAGCAGGGGTTATTTTTTTTATGTAACTCATGTTATTACAAACGTAACTCGCGTTGAGGGCAAATATAACATAGGTGTATACAGAATGTAACTTGTTGGAAAATTGAACAATGATTTTTTTTGTTTGAGAATAACACACACACATATGATAAACATTGATTTCAATGTAAACAATGAAAAATTGACCCTAATAGCTTAATTACTTTTTTAAATAATGAATATGTTTTATTTTTAATATTAGAGCTATAAAAATGATATAACAAGAGTTTATTCCGTGATGTAACTCACATACATTAAAATGTACCTCGCGTATATTAAGATGTAACTCGCGAATAGGAAGATGTAACTCACACACAATAAATTATAACTTGTGCACAATACTCCTGCTTGAGCTAAATATAACTTAAGATAAATAGAAATGTAAATTAGGTTAATGAACATGTAAGTTAAACCAAATCAAAATGTAAGTTGTATACACAGTAATATTTATACCTATAGATATAAATAATATAAATACACCTGCTTCTGTTTTAATACTCCGTATATATATATATATATTTGAATTTGCTGGATTTTTTTACTTTTGTTGGCCAGTATCAATAAATGGACAGCCACATCTATTTACATGTGGCCTGGAGTGCATCGGCGAATCAACCAAAGGAAAGGACAACTACGAACAAATATGGTTGGAGGCCTGGAGTGGATCTGCGATGGAGATGAGGCTGCGATTTCACCGGCAAAGAAGGTCCTAGCAACGGCGGCCGATTCGGCAAAGATGAATTTGATGAGCTCATGTCTTTGCATCTGGTTTCCTTCAATGTATGCGCAAGAAGTCAGTTGCTAATTAATAAAACTACGCCGTTTTGGGATCGGCCCATCCCATGTTGGGCCGATCCCATGTTGCATGGTGGGCCGATCCCACGGTATAATTTGCGCACGAAAATCGGCTGATTTGGCTGATTCTGCTGAAACTTAATAAAGTTTTGGTTGAAGTGGCCGCATTGCCTGATTCTGCTGATTTAAGAAAAAAATATTTTTAAAATATATTTTATTACTAAAATAAAGAAAAAATTATACGTAAAATAGCTAAAATGGTCATCTACAGTAACTTCAGCCAATACAGTTAGAAAAGTGACTTCACCCTTACTTTTTCTGCTTATTACACAATTCAGCGCGCAAAAGCAAAAATTATGTGTTTGGTGAAAAAGTTGGTTGATAAGCCTGATAAGCCGAAAAACAGCGGTTCCAATTTCCAAACGGCCTCGTAATGATCCTTCAATTTAGTGATTAGCAATCAATATTATGTGGTGACTTCGATCACAATGACTCATTATAACAATGACCTGTTTGCCACAATAACCCTTGACACTGGTCATAGTTATCAGTGGCGGCTCTACTATGGGGGCAGTGAAGGCCTCACCAGCTTCCTTTGAGACTGGTGAGGCCTAGGTCTCATGGCCCAAAAAATATTCAAAATTTAGGGTTGGGGGGGCAAAATTTAGAATCGCTTTATATTATACATATACATTTAAATCATTAAATAGGTTGACTTTATTTTAAATTTGTCTACTACTACGTTTGAAAACCCAAATAGCCAAATAGCCGACCAATTCAATTATTCAACGAAGTAGAGTAGGTGAACATGTTGAAGATTTGAGAAATGCATTTGGGATGAGCTAGGGCAATTAGCAATTCAGATCTGAAATTAATGACCATTAGAACTAACGTAAATATTTTTTTTTTGTCTAGCTTCTAAGATTCTAATCTTTTTCAGTTATTTAAAAGAAAAAATTACATAAATATAACTACTTTAAACCCCACTAACAAAATGACTATTTACCCTATTTTTACTCCCATGTTGCCGTATGAGTTCCTTAGTAATAGTCATATTTTTGTAATCCCAAATATTTTTGATAATATTCATGTAAAAAACTCTTATTTAAATTGTTGATTCCTTTTTCTTTATACATATATATACACTCGAAAAAACAAACAAAACTGTCAAAATACTAAAATCCCTCTAATGATTTTGCTCCATTAATGTTTTTAGCTTTTCAACTAATAAAGTCATTCATCATTTCATGTATATTATAAATAATGCATGAAAGCCAGAGAGCTTTTGGGATGAATTTGAATTGGAGTTAGCAAAATAAAAAAATGTTTTTGTCGTAAATGTTTTGTTGAGGTTTAATCACGTAGATCCGAAAGCCCAACACACGCTTTGGATATTAAGGATGTAGGGTTGGATCTAAAAGGTGTATAAAATATAAAAAACAGTGGATTAAGGATGAACTCAGAAGCTACACTTGTATTAAGTAATTCTGTGATTACACTGAATTGCCCGAACGGTATGTCGGTATAAGATCAAATACATGAACAAGAGAGATAATTCTATTGCTAAGCTCTGAGTATCAAAATGCTAACCCTTTACAATGTATTCAATGCAGGTATTTACATTAAGAAGGGGGTAGGTGGGATGATGACGTGGCTGGACCCGGTTGGCTGCTGCTTCTGCCGCCTTTGCACCCATGCCCCCACTTGCTACCGCCATACTTCAGCATTGAATGCGGTTGTCACTTGTTGGCTTCCTGGTCGGGTACTCCGTTCGGGGTGCGGGACTTCTCAGTGGGTGTTCCTATGTCAGTGCTTCGTTAGTTAGCTCAAGTGGATAAGTTACTCCGAATGCTGTTCGGGATGTCTAGAATTTCTCTGGCTGCTTTGGGCCCGGCCCCATGCTTTCTTCCGCTCTTTCTATGTTCTAGGCCGGGTATGTTGGGCTTCGGCCCAATACCCCAACACAAGTCCCCCACTTCCTATGTCTCGAACGGTAGTGAGTGCATAAGGAAGTAGCAGAAGTTGCCCGAACGCTGTTCGGGTATGTGGCGGACGGGATTTCGCCAGTTCCCAAGGCGTAATCTTGACGGTTTTCTGCGGCTGCCGTTTCAGTTTCCCGATAATCGTCATCATTACTTGTTGGTGTTTCTCCGTGTGACACGTGTCTCTGTAATAATTCTTAGTGATGCGTCTTCTCCTGATTGGTTGAAGAACCGGTGCCGTCAGGTTATAAATAAGCCCTTAGGGCTTTGGTTCTGGGTTTCTAAATTTTGAATCCTTCGTGCCGCAGCTCTGCCTTCTCTCTAGGGCTTAGTTCTTGGTAGTGTTCAGGTAATCCTCGTGCCTCCTCTTCTACTATTTTCCTTTCCTTGTTCGGCTAGCATGGCGCCTCGCCCACGTTCTTCCAATACTTCTACTTCTGAAATGGTCATTCAAGGGGAGGCCCAAGATGTCGCGGTGGAAGACGCCAATGTAAATGCGGAGGTTTCCAGTGATGACGCCTCTTCTTCTAGCACTTATTCGAACGGCACCAAATCCGGGGATGAGCTTGATTCTATGGAGGCTGGCCCTCCAGGCGATGTTCCCCATCAAAAGCTTGACCTAACCCTGATCTGGCTTCGGCGGCAGAAGCTCACGGCCCCGAATAGGGCCCAAATTCCAAACCTAATTCCGGACCCGGTAGATTTTCGTCTC